AAACCTCTGATCCAGGACAGTTTTAATTATTACAATGCTCATGCCTGTATTCCTAGCACTCTGGGAGGCCGAGGTGGGTGGATTGCTGGAGTTCACAGGTTTGAGACCAGCCTGAGCAAAATTGAGACATCGTCTCTAAAAACAGCTGATGTGGCAGGTGCCTCTAGTCCCATCTACTAGGGAGACTGAGCCAAGAGAATTGCTTGAGCCCAAGAGTTTGAGGTTGCTGTGAGCTGTGACGCCACAGCACTTTACAGAAGGTGACAAAATGAGACTGTGTCTCAAAAAATAATAATAATGACAACGCAAGAAGAAGTAAATCACTATCCATCCTGTATTTTTATACTCCTATACTTCCCTATACTGGTCTCTGAAGAAATTTCAGTCAGTTATCCAAAGACAAAAGAACACTGCAAATCAGAGATTCCCCTTTCCTTTGAAAAACTAAACCAAAACAACTATATTGGCCCTGTTATCAGTGGTCTATATATAGAAAAAAAGGGTGTCTCAAGATCATTACCTAAAATTCACTATCCATTCAGTGAGGACATATGGTAGCTAATACAACGAGTTATAAAATTTCTACCTTATTCAACTTAGTTATCCCTGTAAGTTATTTGACATAAAAATAAGAAAATTATTAAAAAATTATACTCAAACAATTAATTGAAGCTTGATTGGCTTAACTGATATGTAACCCCAAACCCCCCAAATTCAATAGGGTCAGAGTGGAGAAAAGTATAAAAGGTGAAGTTGAAGCACCTGAAATTCTGTATTTTTCCTGTTTATACCACAAAGCTCTCTTTCAACTCTTTAAAGAAAATCCTTCCATAATTCCAAAATAAAAGGTTTGACAGTTCCCGCACTTTTAACTTTATGTTTGATCCTAAAATGACCTTAAAATTCTTAATGTTGCTGTGTAAATTTCTTTCTTCCCTCCTAAATATCCTACATTTTATATTTTTAAATGAGAAAACAGATTTGTAAGAGCACAGCACAGACAGATTTCTCAGTAATAGAAAAGAAAAAGTATTGTCTTGGGAAAGAAAAGATTTGGGGGAGCTCTGCAGATGTGTAATAACAAACAGGAGAAATCTGAATACCTGGCTGTTGACATTAACATTGACGTTGGATCGAGGAGATGGCAAAGAACTGTTCTCCATTTCAAGCTGTTTGAGCTTCTCTGAGGCATCTTTCAACACTGAAAAAAATGGCAAAAATAGACCCTCAGTTGCTAAGCTGTCATAGCTGTGTGAGGATATAGTTTGTTTTCCCAATACTAGTTATCATCGATTAAAAGTAATAATAAACATAAACACAAAATAAATATATTTTCTTTCCGTGACCAGGTAACTCTCCATTAATTTGATTAAGAGTCAATCCTAAGTGGGAACATACTCTTACCTGCAGCGCTCCTAGAAAGAAACAGGATATAGAATCTCAATAGCTTGTGTACTTAAGGTTTCCCCAGTCAAAAGACTTGAAAAGCAGAGAACACACGGGACCTGATCTTTTCTTCCATAACCACAACACAAGCTCATGTCTAACCTCAACACTTTGCATCATCATTGGCCTTCATTATACACCACTTTAAACTAAACTTACATGGAGCAAACTGATTCAACATATTATACATTGGTATAATCAGGTGTGATACAGGACATGCATTTTGTCTTCATAATGTTCTTCCTCGCTGCAAAATACATTCAAAGTCCTCTAGCCATTGAAAAGAAAATACATTAACCACAATTCATTTTAAAATAAACTCTACTTAAAGTAATCATCCTGAAATAATCTTATTTTATAGGGATTAATTTGGTATGAGTTTAAATTTTGACACTGTTATCAACAAAAAATGTTGAATGACTAATTTCTAAACATTACACAAAAAAAGGAGGAGGAAACTTTGAAATTATGTCCTCTGGGTCAAGGAATCTTCTAAAAGTGCTCATCAATTAGGCCAGTGGATTCTCCCCCTGTCTGCACATTAAAATCAGATGGGGAGCTTTTACAAAAATACTCATTCCCAGGCTTACTCTAGAATGATTATATCAGAGTCTTTGGAAATAGGATTCTGGCACTGGTAGTTTAAAAAATTCTCTAGGTCATTTTAATGTATAACTAAAGTTGAAAATCACTAATTCAACAATGGTCTTCTCAAAATTTTCCCTACTTATTTACTTAGTTGCCATCTCCTGGTTTTCTTATGCTTCAAATTACTTGATACTAAGACGACAAATGCTCATAAATCAGTACTTTTTTGGCTGAATTAAAGCTTCTTCTGCTACTTCTGTTTGTCTGAGGGAACATCCTGAGATGTACGATAATTTGCTTAGAAAAGATGTTACTATTTGTAATTATTTACTTATGTCTATAAGGATATTGATATTACAACCAAAATAAAATACAAAATAAAAAAAAAAACCAAGATTGATTAAGACAATAACACTTAACATAAATGTTCTAATTATTCTCATTGGTTGACTTTTAGCAAGTGTTATAAATCAACCAAGTCATATTCATGAAGCCTCTGTACTACGTAAGCACTTCCTTTGCCACCTGAATCTCAACAGCATTCAAGTTCTGCTTGAATATTCTCTGTAATGAAGAACTCACTTTTAGGTATCTATTTCTATTATATGGCAGAAACAGTTAAAAAATACTTCCCTATTCTGATGCAAGATCTGCTTTCCTATACTTGCAAATTGCTTATCTTTGCCAAAAAAGTGCCATAAAAGAAATTTTCTGATATTTTCAAATACTTGATTTTCAAATAGTTGAAGAGGTTTGTCTTATCTGATCTTTTCTTCTCTAGGCATCTGTACTTCATTCTCGCACGTTACCCTAACTTAATACAATCTGCTAAAAAGCGTTTGCTAATATATTACGGCACTGGAAAAATTAAACTTTCTGAATTCACATAATGGACATAAAATAGAATATAATTGAAATCAATGTTGCCATCTTTATAAAGGAAATTATTTTTATTTTAACCCTGGAAATACTTTGCATTAAGCCTTCTTGCCTCTGGGTGAATCTAAATCCTGAGGGCATTAGTTTTCTACAGCTCATATCTTCCTGGTGACAAAGAGCAAGGATGTCTAATGAGCAGTGGAATCCAGGATAGGGCTGTCAAAACTGGACTAACAGAAAGATATTATCGCAGAGAAAGTACATGAGAAATAATAATGAAGAATGTTTTCTTCATCCAATAACTGACTACTACTCTTTAAAGAAATTGGATTAGAACTTTACTCTGAAACTGTCAGAATAATGTAGTAAGTTAAAGTTAATTCTTATTTCTCTGCTCTCAGGCCAACAAGAACAATTTAACCATGTTAGATGACAATAAAAATAGCCATGATATACTGCAATATTTGTTTGCAGTGGTTACTTACGGAACAAAAAAAAGATTTTAACACCACCACCACTTTCCAGTTGTACTTCAGCATGTTCTATTAACCAGAAGCACTATATGACTTTTTTTTTTTTTTTTTAAA